AGCTTCAAGAAAAAGCTTGACACCAATCCAGAATAAGCAAGTTATCTGTAGTAATTACAGTAACTTCTACCTCTGGCAACTCTTTCAAAGTCCTTACAAACTGAAGCTTACAGTCAAAAACATCCTCAAAGGTCCCTTTTCTCTGGACTAGTGAAATATATCCCCGTAGATCAGTGAAGATACACGTTAAGATCTAGGAATGTTAACACATACAGGAAGTTAAGACAAAGAACAGCTCATGCTTCTGACATAAGAAAATTAACATCTAGTCCAAACATGAAAAACGGCATTAGGTAATCTAGCTATTTCTGCTGTTTTTCTTCAGAAGACAATGAATTTTATTTTGTTTTGAAGATTTTTCTAGTGAAATTCTGCAGCAACAGAAATATACAAACATACAAAATACCCAGAGAACCATCATTTAAATTGCAGGTAAAGTCTTAACTTTGAAAAATCAGGCTGGTTCATACTACCAAAATAAACACAAAAAATCCTCAGGATGTAAATGGACAAGTGAACTCAGCTCCTTCAGAAATCTGACCAGATTTTGCTGAGGGGAGGGGCGGGGGTTATTATCAACATCATCCTTTCAGGGCAAATGGTGCCAAACTTGTGGAATCACATTCATGTAAGAAAATCAATCTCTTTTCTCCTACTTACTCAGACAAACACTACTAGAATTTGATCAGCAAGGAGGTTGAAAGCATAGGCCATTTTTGGAGCTACCCTCACGGAATATTTGATTAGAACCAGATCCATTCATGATGGACAGAGTCTTATGTCCTATCTTAGTATAATTACCATCAATATTTTTAATCGCTAATTTCTCCATTCAAATTGTTCATACAGACACAACATGGGCCACAAGACATGTCTGATTCTGCCAGGACCACAGGCTGATTCAACCACGCTTTTCATCCTTGTACACCCTGGAAGGCATTCTCCTCCCCTGACCCGTATATTCATGGGTATTACACAGGTGTACTAAAACTTAGAAACTATCCAAACAGGAAATTAGTAAATATAACTTAGGCTGACATTTCTCAAAGGATTTGTTTGCTTAACTATATACAGAGAATTAGCGTATAAAATGGCTGTTGGAAAAATAAGCAGCAGAATGATAATTCAAACTTAATGTTTTACTAGACTCAATCATTATTTTATTTCCCTGTGCTAATGGCCCATGAAGATAATCACTCACTCAAACAAATGTTAAATGCCTACCGTGTGCCTGGCATGGTTCAAGGTAAGCAAAGGAAAAGGAAAACAAGGATGCAATACCTGCCAAGGACTACTTTAAACTCGAGGAGACATGCCCATTAACGTACTGTACTATTTCAGATTTATTGGACACCAACTACCCGCCAGGCTGTACTGAGCACCATGGACACACGTAAGAACAATCATCTAACTGCAGATCTGTAATCAGCGATGAAGTATGACAACCCCAAGCCTGACCACTCCTAACGCAGCAATATTTCATTCAGGAAATAATCTTGCCTCTGTCAATTAACCCTGTCTATGGATGGCAGTTCTCTGAATAACTTCCACCTGTGTTAACCCAGACTAAGGTTGATTAGAGACTTAAATGAGTTACATGAGAGAATGTAACGTTTTGAACAACCACCAAAAAAACCCCAATAAACAAGCTCATTTATGCTTTAACATTAATTTGGTTTGCATTTGCTGTTGCCTTCAGTAACAATAAAAAGCAAGTGACTTTAAAATAGAACCACCACCCTAAAGTTACTGTAGCAAGAAATTACTTTCTTTGCAGTGGCAGTTTAGTGTGAAACGGAAGCTAAACTAACAAGTTTTGCTTAGCTTTTTAAAAACCATTCACTTTTAGTGATTTCTCCATGAAGGCTCTGAGGCCACTCAGTTCCCCAGGCTCAAAAAACAGGTAGTGCCAACAAAATTACAGACCTGGTCTTCTAGGTTACAAAATAGTTTTTAACCCTGTAGAAGCCCCGGTTTTACAATCATACAACACTAATAAGCGTTTTAAAAATAGGGGTCAGCCCTTAATTGTAAATTATAGATAAAGGTTTGGAAACTAAAAACTTGACATTTGTTTTTAAAGTCTTTCACAGGAAAGGCAATGACTCCAAATTACGTATTTTGAAATATGTAAAAAATATAAACAGGCTTTCCATAGCTTAATAGAGCTAAATAGAATTGTACGAGAGAGAGAGAGAGAGAGAGAGAGATGTTAGCTAAACAATCAACACTGCAAAGCGATACCGGAGAGGGAAACCGAAGAAATAAGATTCCTTCCCCAAGAAATGCTTGAACAAATTCAAAGTAAAATTTTGCAAGTTGTTTTGAAGACTTTCCATCAGTCTGGCTATTTTTTTTTTACTACATTTTACAGTGAGCTCTGTTTGCACGCCGTTATTAAAACCGCAACCAAGAAAAAAAGTGTCCTAAAATTTGCCTATTAACAGCAATCAGGTCTAAAAATACGCCCTCCTACAGCGTGGGCCAAGTGGCAAGAATATACGAGAACTCGGGAAGTTTTGAAATGGCAGTGACAGGAGACGAGGGGGAAGACAAGGGGAAGGAATCACGGAGAACAAGAGCAACTCCGTGCGGCCAACGCCGCGAGTTGGCATCCGAACTGCAAGTTCCCGGCTCGGGACGGGACTCGACCAGAGCAACTTCACGCCGGACGGAGCCCCGCGCTCGGCCGCCCTCCCAATCCCGAGCCGCAGCCCTTCCTCCCCGGTCGCAGCCCGGCAGCGGCCTCCGCGAGGGCGCGGTGACAGCCGCGGGGCCGGGCCTGGGAGATGCCGGGCGGCTGACACCCACCTTCCTTCTCGGCCCGCGCCGCGGCCACGACGAGGGTCATCACCAGGTGCAGCGCTCCCAGGAGGCCGGCGGCCGCGCTCCGCGGGCCCCCACCGCGGCCGGCCGCGGGCTCCAGACCGGCGCCGGCAGACGTGGAGGCGGCGGCGGCTCCTGCTGCTCCTCCTCCCGCCCGCTTCCCCATCCCTGCCCGCCGCGGGCCGCCGCGCTCGAGGTCCGGCGCGGTCCTTCTCGGCGAGGAGGCGGCGGCGGCGCGGGAGCCGTGGCTCGGGCTCTGGCCGCGGCGCCGGGGGCGAGAGCGGTTCCGGGCCCAGGGCTCGGGCTCCGGGCGTGGGTCTGGGTCCGTGCGTGCGTGTGAGCGGGAGTGTCAGTCACGGCCTCGGCCTCGGCATCGCCTACGAGGAGTCGAAGCGGAGAGGCCGCGGGTCAAGCACGGCGGACGGCCATACTGGAAACGGGCAGGGGCCGCGGGTTTCTGGGCGCTGGCCTGCGAGGGGCGGGGCGCGGCCCTGGGCACCGCCCCCGCCGTGCAGTCACCTGGGCGGCCCCGCTCAGCCTGTCCGTCCCGGAGTCCGTGGCTCTGAACTCCTCGTCCCGCTCTCGGAGGCCCACGACTTCAGGGGCCAGGCAGGACGGGGGCAGCACAACCGCAACCCGTCACTGCTGCCCTGTCGGGGAGGAAGAGGTGGGAGGCAGGCCGGGGCCCAGCCGCCAGGACTTGTGATGGTGGCTCACGCTTCGCGGAGGCAGTGACGGCGATCACGTGGGGGTCGGGAGGCTAGGCCGCGCAGCCGCCCTGGGGCGGGGGCGGGGCCGGGGCGGGGCTGCAGGGCGCTGGGGGAGGCTCGGCCGCCGCTCCGAGTCAGGACAAACCACCGCATCTCCAGTACTGCAATGCGAGAGCCTTCCGGAGGGACTGAGTGCGCATCCGGACCTTGAGGCCCAGCGCGGAAAATCCATTCTAGTGACTCCTCCCGGCCTCTCAGCCGGTTCGGGAATACCCCGGGCTTGATTCAGTTCCTGATGGCGCTGCCTTGAGGACGGGGACCTGCTCTATTCATGCTTGTATCCTTCGAGACACAGAACCCAGGAACGCGTCATGGAATCCTCCTGCCCTTGGACTGTGCTGACTTTGCTGCGGGAAGACCCTTTGCTGTGTGTGCGTGTGTGTGTGCATGTGTGTATATGTAAAGCAGCAGTGACCCTGGAGTGGGAGGGCAGATTGTGCTCCAGAAAAGTGTCCAGTGTCTATGCCGGCTTCCTCGGTATTGGAATGATTCTTAAGACGTTTTATTCACATAGTTCCTTCAAGGCCCAGTTCAAACGCCGCCTCTTTTAGTCTCCTTCAGGAAGCCACCTCATGTCTCTTAGATGCCTTTTCCATCTTAAGTCGACGTTTTGATGCACAAACTCCCTCTTAAATCAATCAGTAACTTCTAACTCCTAATTTAGTAACTTACCCTAACTTCAGAGCCATTTACTTAGGCTTAGTAGGATTTGTTGACTGAATCGTATTTTAAAGGCCACGTTTACCTCTAATACGTCTCGGAACAAACTACATGGGAAAATAAAATCTAAGAAGACTTACAAAAGGAACTCAAAGTGCTACTGTATGCAGTAGTCTTTGTCAAGGAAGCAGTTAAATTTACTTTATTAATGAATTAATAGAGTTTAATCGCCTTACCCTGAGTTTGAAAAGCAATTTTATTTTTCTGTATATGAGTGTCAAAACTGAGTAATCAAATTTTGTTCTTGATGTAATCAAACAGGGATAATTAGTGTTATCGCTAAGTCCGCTTTTCCATGTTTGTATACGCCTAAGGTAAGAGATTTCTGGAAGGCTTTTAACTCACTGAAGCAATCAAGCCCAAGGATAAGTAACTGAGTGCCTTAGCTGGGTCAAATTAACTTCAACCATGAGAGGCTCAAGTTCTCTTACGCAGGAATCAACCCAGCCCTATGATTAGCCTGAGGCCCAAGAGCCCTCTGGGAACTAAACATATGTCTACGATTGGAGTGCAGACACATACAGACACGTTTGATCAGAGGCTGATTTCCCATGAAGCCAACGAAGATTTAGGACACCTCTCTTGCACAAGTTTCTTCCAAGGCCTTGGGTCTAATTGTGTATTTATAAGCTTATATTCTTGTTCTTTAAGTCCCCTCACTCCCAACAGCTGTGTAAGCTTTAGGGCCTAGCATACCTGAACCTCCCCTGTGCCTGATGGACACTGAGGGCCAGAGAGGTGGAGGTGGGTGTCTGTCCCCTGCAAAGGACAGTGAGACTGCTGGAGACTAATAATAAATGAAGAACTTACTGGACAGCTTGGTAAACTGGGGGAGAGCAGCTAGAGTTGAACCACCATCACTCCATCATCTTCTCTGCCCTGACAGCCATGTATGTGCCTTGGGAAGAAGAGGGGCTATCACCAAGGACCCTTGTGAAATTCGATTAGCGTCAGCCCTCCCTAATCCCCTTTCTGGGAATTAGAGAGACCCGGGCATTTAGCAGGTGGAGGCGGGCTATTTAGCTGGCAGAATCAGGGAAAACCAGCTAAACCAGTGGTACTCAAAGTGTCATCCCCAGACCAGCAGCATCAGCGTCACCTGGGAACTTGTTAGACATGCAAATTGGCATGCCATGGTCCACACCTGTGGAATCAGGAACTCTGGGTTGAGGTCCTGCAGTCTATGTTTTAACAAACCATTGGGTGATTCTGATACGCGCTCAAGTTTAAAGACTTGCACTGAGTCGATACATGCCAGGAACTACAAACTGTTGGGACCTCTCACCTGCTTCTACTTTGTTCTCTACCCAGATTAGTAAACTACTATTGGAAGCAGAATTAAAAGGGACTCAGGTGAATCTGGGCTTAAATCCCAGCCCTGTCTTTATTAGCTGTATGATGCTAGACTAATTACTCAACTATTTGGGCCTTAGTTTCCTCATCCTTAAAATGATATCTAGTAAATTTGGGGAAATTAAAATACATATTAGGCACAGTGAAATTTTCAAAGATCATTCATTGCCACTTCATTCCATGAAATATATGAGGAGGCTTACAAGAATACTTTCATTGTAATAAAAATATGTATGAATTAAAATTTGGGACCAGGAGGGGAAAATACTTTCGGGGTTCGCAGGGCTCCGTCTCACTGGCTCCCTGGTATTTGACACTGTCTATACTCTTCTTTTTAAGCCCCAACTTCACTGTCTCTATTGCTGCTCCCATTCAGGCATCTAAAAGATGTCTTCAACTCCCATGCACTCCTAATCTTCTCCCCAAACCTCCACCCACAGCTTCTCCTGTCTCCCAGGGAACTCCAACCATCCACTTGCTGTTTCTCACCACCTACATGGTACACTCTGGGATGAGCCCCATTATCTTCTGCCTGGATTTCTGCAAGAACTTTCTAACAGGTTCCCCCGATCCCAGCTGTAAAAGGAAAAAATTCCACTTACAACCCTTGCCTAGGAGATATCAAAATGGAATGCTATGTTATACCTCAACTGGTTCAAACCCACCTAAGTTGACAAAGGACTTTGAAGGACCCCTAGGCCAGACCCTTATTAGACTTAACCAAAGACTTGTTCTTGTCCAGTGAATGAGGTGCCTTGTTTTATCCAGCACTGTTCTTTCCTGTCCAGGGTGCTGGTTTTCAGTCCTTAATTAGTATAACAACTATGAACCCCCTTTCCTCTTTCTGGCACTTAAAAACCCCTGACTTTTCCCAATTCATGAATTCCTCAGTAAACTTTTTCACTGGTGTTTCCTTGCCTGACAAGTATATAAACTCAGCTTAGCTTTTTTTTTTTTTTTAAATTTCTGGTAGTGTTTGCTTTCTTTTTTGACATAAATTTGCATGTTTATAGTCTATTGTCAATACAGCAGCAGAATGACCATTTAAAACATAAAACGTCTTGTGTCCCGCTTGTAGTGGCTCCCATCTCAGGGAGAAAGCCAAAGCTCTTCTGATGGTCCACACGGTTCTACACAGTCTGGCACTCTACGATCTTTAACTTCCATTTCTGCTGCACTCCTCGGGGCTCAGTTAATTTCAGCTGAACTCACCACCACTTTGTTCCTCAAATACATCAGGGATGCTCCTGCTCCAGGGCCTGTGCCCCAGCTCTTCCCGCTGTCTGAAGTGCTTTCTCCACCCCAGTCCCCTGCTTGCCTCACTTTCTCACCTCCTTTCAGTCTTCATGCAGTTGTCGCCTTCTCAGTGATGCATACTCAGGTCACCATTGTTAACACTGCAGTTTAATATACCCACCCTCAAGTTCCAATCCTCCTTACCCTGTGCTCATTTGTCTTTTTTCTCCATAAAATGTATCACTTTTTATAACACTATATAATTTACTTATTCATTATGTATTGTTTTTATCTGTCTCTCACCCCCATCTTTTTTGTTCACTGATATATCCCAAGCTTCTAGAATATATGAGGCTCTCAGTAACACTTGTGGAATTAATGAATGGATGGATGAATAGATGGATGGATGGATAAGTGATACCAAAAGACAGAGATAAGTAAGATATAATTCTTTCCCTCAAGGGAACTTAAAAGTCTAGTGGATCAGACAGACATGTACAAGATGTAACAGGAAGGAGTGAACCAAAGGAGAGAAGAGAAGGGGTATTAAATGAAGGCAACTTTGGGTTCTCCCAGTGTCTATTTATCCAGCCTTTTCAACCTCTCTCACTGATGCTTCTCTATTTTCATTTTTCCCTCATTTAGTTCGGAGTACGAGTAAAGCCCATGGCAGTAAGTGAACTAGAAGAAGTGTAGCATGCTAACAATCTCCTTCAACACACAGAGTAATCTGCTCATTTTGTCGGCTGTGTGCCTCATTCCTTGATAGGGTTCCCTTGGCGTTATTCTTAAAAAGAGAAAAAAATCAACTCACAAAGCCCCAGGTTTAAGTCTGTTCAATTACTAGGTAAACTGCTGTAGCCTAGGGTAGGGCAAAAAAACCTCAGACAGGTTCATGCTTCAGGCAGAGGATAGCAGCTTGTGAGATGACGGACTGAGCCCACTGTTTATGTGGATTTCATTCTATCTGAAGCTCTTTACTCAGATGTTCCTCAAGAAAACTAGCTGCCTTTGCACTTTCCAAATTCGTTTGAACTAAGTCCTCATTAAAGACTATAATTGCTACCACATTCACACCTCTACTAATAAGTATATTGCATTTGGATGCTAGAATGAACTGTGGTTTTCTTCAATATTTTCCTTCTAAGCTGACTGACATATTTTTAAGCTATGTATCTTTCTAGCCTTCTTAAGAAATAGTTCCATGGCAAACATCCTGGTATGAAATAAAAATTCCAGCCTGCCATTTCAAATTCTCCAGGACAGACTCCAGTACCTGTCAAACTTTTTCTCTCCCAGAAGACTTATTAATCTTATGACTTTTTGAGATGTTTCATGTG